CAGGCCTTCCCCAGGCGGGTCCTCCTGTTGCTCCTCCCGGCCAGAGTCTAAGTGAACTAAACCAGCAGCGTTATCAAGCTGCAATGCAGCCACAGGCGACAGGATTTATGGGTCAAAACCAATACCAGAATGCCTTAGTACCGCAGCCCACAGCGTTTACTCCCCAGTCACAATTCGGTATCCAGCAGCAGCAGCAACAACAACAGCCGTTTGGTGGTATGGTCCCTCAACAAACTGGGTTCCAGGGACTTGGGCCGCAGCCCACAGGCTTTGGTGGATACGGGCAATTCCAACAACCAATGCAGACTGGTATCAACTCCGTTCTCCCTCCTGCACTGCAACCGCAACCCACTGGTATCAATGGCTACGGCAACCAATCCTATACATCTCCGCCCCCAGTGCCGCCAATTCCCCAGCAACCAACAGCCACTCCTCTGTCGCCACAGAAGACCGGACCGCCTCCCTCTGTCAGATTTGGTGTCAAACCAGATGGCCCCAAGAAGCTTGAGCCACAGCCGACTGGACTCAGAGCCAACCTTTCGCAAGCTAGTAAGTGTTTTTTTGTTCATATTATTACAGGTGATAGAAGTAACAGAAACTAACTTAACCAACAGCCCCCAATAACCCGTTCGGCTTCTAATCTGCTTTCTGTGTTCGCCCATACTAGACTGGCGTATATAATCCTGGTTTTTTTTTTTTTGGCAATTCCTCCTATGTTGCCCTGAAGTTTTGCTCATTCTGAGGCCGGGATGTCCTTTTCACATATCGCAGCTTGTCCTTTCGAACCAGTGCCCTTGGAATCAACACGTGTACATATCATGACCCTGGTCCCCGTTTTGACGCAGCGCGTATCGAAGCTCATGCCACGAATCCTCTTGCTCTTCCCCCTTCTTGCAAAACCCCCGCACTTAGCGAGCTATCCATACTCTTTTCCTGTGCTCTGTGACAGATCTGGTCATGCCTCTCATATCCTGCATGTTTCATTGTCTTTAGCTTACTGTCATATAAATCTGTCTATGGTGATGCTTATTGTGTGGATGTCCTCTCTTTCTCCGTTTTATTTTGTCGTTTGGATGTTTCCTTTTTTGCTCTTGTCCTCTCGCTGGTTACCAGCTCATACATAATCCATCGAGTTGTCGGGACTTAGCCTGGTCTACTTACTCCATGCAGTAAATAGTTCTAAGCACCGCTACCCAGATCGAACTCTGTCCAGTAATGTGAACAAATATTGGGGGTATATTATGACTCAAAACAAGACCATTTCCTTTCTCTCCAGGGCTTGTCTCTCGGCCTCACATAATGTATGCGTGTTTTAGCCATTGAAAGGAATCTTCACGAAACATCAGTGATCCCGCATAGAAAGGGTTGGTTTTATTACAATCCAGATATACACGAAGCCCAAATATAGCCTGCAGTTGGGTCATACAAGCTCCCGGAACCTCTAAAGCTAGGGCATCTACATTGGTGGGTATCAGGGTTTCCCGTACGAGATGGCTGTGAAATACAGCTTTGAGCCACATAGCAAGTTCCCTTCATTTAAAGCCCCCAAAGTCATTTTCTTGGGCTTCGACAGGCATTGCACCCTTCACCGGATAGGACCCCTGGCATGTTGCACGGGAAATTATGGGCGGAAGGTGATACTCGAGCTAGAAAAGGGGGGAACAGGCAGAACAATAGGAGTAGACACTCCTATACATGTAGTGTGTACGGAGTAGTATAGTTACGACGTCTCCAGCGTTGAGCACAGCTGGAGAACATAGATTCGAGCGCACCATTTTCCCTATTTAGTCAATGATAGACATCTACCAAGACCTTCGAGTCGCCGGCTTCAAAAGGATGTGTATGCTCGGATTGTTAAACACGAATCCGAACTCGATGAAAGAGTACCGAAGAGGTCTTTATGTTTCATCCAATATAGCCATTTTTGTGCTCCTGGGGAGGGTAGGTCGAACAGATTCCCAATCAAGAATTTGCCTTTCGGTCCTGGTGGTAGATTGGTTCCTCTGTTTGTGAGAGTACGCAGAATCACATTCAGACCTAGAATGATCGTAAAGATGACCAAATGGACGGTTGATATCATGGCAAGGACTCGAGGATAGAAGATAAAAAATGGGTACGGAGTAGAGATCTCAAACAAAGAAAATAAACTCGTATCACATCCCATCACATCCTTTTCCTGATTTGGTCATTTGGTGTGCTCTGAAATCTGACCAATGCCACGACAGTCCATAAAAATAAATCGATTCGCCCTTGGGGGTATATATATATCAATAAACGCGTCCAATTATATGGGGAAAAAAAAGGAAATACGAGGGGAGTCATCGCATCATGGACATGGACATCCTCCGAGATAATAACACACTAGATCTGTGCTATTACCCCCCCTTTCCATCACGCATCCTTGAATTTTGAAACACAATTGGCTTTCTGAGACTGGAAAATCACGACTCATCCCCCCAGATGCCAAAGACCGGAAGATCCTCAGCCATGTATAGCAGACCATTATCCGGGAACATCACGTCAGAAAGCGGGGATGGGCCGGACACTGGGGGAGGGCCAGAAGGAATAGTCCCACCGGGAGAGCAACCCACAGGGATGCCCGAAGTAGTTAATGCAGATATGGCTGCATCGTAGGACAAAGCAGCGGTGGGGTCCGAGCCATTGTACAGGGCTTCCCAGACATCGTTATCGGTTGAAAGTTGGGGTTGAGGGAGGGATTGGGAGGGGTGGTAGGAGGATGGTGTTCCAAGGGGCATCTTGTCGGGGGAGCCAGGAGATAGTGCAGTGGCAGGTGCAGATGAATGAGCATCACTCGGACCAGTGAATGGTAGAGCTCCTGGGGCCGGGGAGTTACGATCCTCATCACCACCTACTTGACCAAAAAGTTGGTCGACCTGTTTGCTGCGCTTATTCATCCATTGGCGGTTTCGCCTGGAAACGTATTCGGTTACAGCAGCGCGGAGGTATTTGATAATCTGGAAGAAACGGCATGCATGTGGATCGTGCGGGACAAATAGCTCTAGGAACCGTTCGGCTTTGTTCATTCCTTCTTCCAAGGGGAGGAGATTATCGTAGTCGGCAAAGAATGCAGCGCCGAGGACGATAACAGAGTTAAAAACAGAGTTGATCAGGAAAGGTAGTCGACGTGGAAGAGAGGTATAATGGCCGAGATCATCGACCACGTCTAGACCACGAAGTGCGGAATAGACACATGCATCGGCAAACAAGGATATTCGGGAGCTACCGCTTCGAGTTTCAGATGAATCGGGTTTGCCTTTGACATACTGGGCGACACGGTATATAAGGAATGGCCTTGTCAACAAGATGATCGACCAGTAATATGACCCGAACACATGAGCTGCAGCTAGGCTGTTTTCCATGGATTTATGTTCGAGCCGCTCAGTCTGCATTTTGAGGATTGCTGGCAGAATGCGCACCCAAGCCCGATGCTGGTTGGAGATCGCCTCTGCAACATTGATCGATATGACTTGCTTCATGTACACATCCGTCAAGATCCGTTCGAATATTCGACAGAGCGAAATCACCGCAGCAGAAAGCTGTTGGTCTACGGTCAAATTGGGTTTTGATTCCCCTGGTATTAGAGCATCTTCGCGACTATCATAGTCGTAATCTGAAGTTGCAGGAGGGCGTCCCAGGGAAGCGCTGAGGAATAGATCCATCATCCGAAGACTCTTCCAAACTCGCTCCCTCGCTCGGCGCTCACGCCCACAAAAGAGCGCGTTTGCATCTTTGCGGTGAATCCCGACCGCGTAGGCAGCACGTAGAGCAATCCCCAAATTCATAAATGCACCATTGCGCCTGCATGCGCCGAGCATATACATGGAAACCAAAATGTATGATTGAATGGTGGATATGCTTGGGGTCTCCTGAAAGGCTGAGAAGGCCAATTGGCGACCGCTGCCAAAATATTGTTCAGCTACTGTCTGATCAATATCGGAAACCTGAGCTCCAATGGCAATCACAAGATAGAAGATAGAGCTAACGGTGTCTTCGTCGCCCGATGGGTTTGCAACCCAATTAGCTAGCCGTGGGTGAAACTCTTCCAGGTCAAACAAGTCAAGCAATGGGCTTGTAGCAAGCACAAACTGACGAGCCAATCGTTGGGCTTCTTCGTTGTTAGGTGGCGCAACTAGAGCTCCGGACTTAGTGTTTGGGTTGCTCTGAAAAGCCTCGAGCATTGAATGTCGTGAGTTGTCCTCGGTGAACTCACATCGGCCAATGGAGGATGTCACAACACGGCGCAGACTCTGTAAAAACGATAAACTCGCCGAATCACCAATATACATAAACTTTCCCTGGCCGTCGCGCAGAAGCCGTGCCACCTTTGGCACGGGAGCTGTCCCTTCCTTCTCATCTTTTTCCTGGCGTTCCATATTCATTCCTTGGTCCTCGAGGGAGTTCAAGAGGCGGTCCATGGCTGTCTCGCGCTGCGGAGATGGTACCATGCGCTCGCTGAGCAACATTGTCGAGTCCTTGGCGTCTGGTTTGAGTAGGCGTGCGGGCCGATCCGAGAAATGGCATTCCGACTCTTTGTGCCTCTGAACACAGATTGTACATGGTTGTTCACCGTTGCATTTCTGTTTCCGCCGTTTACAGCTGTCGCAGGCTCGTCGGCATCGGAGCCGTGCTCCCGGGGTAGTGCTGGCCCGAGGCATCCCGACCGCCGTGATCGCGTTTGATGAATAGGTCGGGTCGCTAGTCCGGGGTTTCGGTGGTAATCATCGAGGCATGGTTTGAGCCGATTGATCCGGGGGCGATTTGGATTGATTCAAGTCATTGTTGAGGTCTAATGTGATGCTAAAGGCCGCTAAGTGCGGGCGTCTGCTTTCCCCGGACTCCACTATATGACTAAGCGTGTTCATCCCACCCGTGGAATACTGCCCAGGCACCTCCAGCGTCGTACATCGAATGAACTTGGATTTAAAATATGGGATAATGCATTGATACACTGATATGGCAAGAATAAATGCATTTCAATCCCCAAAATTTCCGAGGATTATGGCCGGAATGATACTATCTTGCCCCAGGTGTCGGCAGTGCCCCAGATGCCAGCCCGCAGGCATTCCAACTGCACAATCTGGCTGTGATCCACAAAGAGGTTGATATCAACACCAAACTCACGGACGTACCAATTGAAGACCTTGGGATCTGCAGCCTCAAACATGACACGCTCAGGAGGAAGCTCCTTCATAATCCTTGACACCACATCAGTCCGCCAGGACTTGACGTTTTCAGTGATGCCTTCCGATTCGATCATCAACCGCTTCACGCCAGCGTCAAGGAATTTACGACCCAAGTTTACCAATTTGCCGGGGTCTGAGGTCCCAATTGCTTCAAGTCCCGAGGCAGGTGTGTCCCCACCGGCTCCGAATTGAATCCCCAATTCAGGCTTTGGTTCCAACTTGTATGAGTGCACTTTGTCAATAAGGCGGAGCCAGTCATCCTCTGGGATTGATAGGAAACCGGAAGACAGTTCAATGACGTCGAGTCTATGTACTAGTCAGATTTTATATTCCAGGCTCTTGGACCTCGAGCTGGGGATGCACGTACCCGAGATCCTTACATTTCTTCAAGTAGCGGTCAAATACCGTATTTGGATCGGGGTGTGTAAGGAGATGCTCAGCCCATCCACCCTGAAATAAGGGACCTAGTGTCAAGAGTATGCTTCCAAATGTGCTAATTTTTTTGGTCTAGGACAGTCTTACCGTTGAGATGTACACGCCGTGCTGATGGGCCAGATCGACCAATTCCTGTAGTGGTTTCTCGTGAAAGAGAGAAAAAGCACCTGGGTGTGTCTCAGCGCTCTCGTTTCTGGCGAGGACCGAAGCCCTGTTGGGACTCACCTCCAGCAAACTTGAGACCATCTACATGGTCGGCCATCCTATCAAATGCTGTCAGATATCATTTGATGAGTAGCTGGATTTCGGAATATTACGTTTCGAGGATATCTCCGAGATATCTTTTACCCATGACCTGATTTAGGTTAACTCCACGAAAAAAAAAGGAAGAAGAACAAAAAAAAAAGACGATAGAACTATATGGCACGTACTGAGTAGTATGGGCCTCTGATCTCAGTGACCCCCCTTGTTCTGGGTTTGGCAGGTCTAGGGTTTGACCGCACGAAGCCAAATCCATTTTGCTTGTCTTGTAAAAGAGTGACTCCTTGGTAAGTATTCGGGGTGGTAGAGAAGTGTCTGGATGAGGTCGACAAAGCAATGGCCGCCTGGGATGAGGCACAGCTCATGACACGCCCGGCTGTAAGTGAATTAGCAGGTAACATATTTAGGGAGTTGATGTTGAGTTAGACCTAGGTAAAGTATTCATGTTCTAATTCCATATTCCATGGAGATGTATGTTTGGGAAGGGTTGACGTCAAACAGACTTCATCGAATAAATTTTAGATATTACGTAGGAATAAGCAAATATCACATTACTTGTAGTTACTTTAGTTCCCACGGAATAGGTAGTTACTACATACATAAATACATCCATGGATACATAAGTATATGTACGTATCTATGTATATTTGTGCGGCCGTAAGAGGAAATTCTTGGCAAAATTATACTAGCGTGGGACCATATAGGGGTCTTATAAGTCCTACGGGAGTCCTATGGGACTAACAGGGTTATAGGACCAGAATTCCTTTAGTCCCATAAGTCCCATAGGAGTAGATGGGACTAGGATATGGGACCAAAATATTTTTTAGTCCTATGGGAGTTGTCAAGGCCTAGTAAAGGTAAAATATAAGTGAGAGTTTTTGCTGAAGTCAAAGGCAGAGATATTTAAGAAAAGGAAAGAAAAGAAAGAAGAAATTCAGACCTAGGGACTTAATCGAGGTAGGACAGGGTAGGATGAACCATAGTAGAATCAAAACTACTATGCCTATTCTAGCAATCCTTATTGTAAGAACCATAGAACCTCATCCGATCCGGGCCCATGAATTGTAAAGAGTAACTATGCCTTTCTTGATGGCAGATAATGCCCTTTATAGAACCTGACAGAAATCTGTGGTACGACCAATGTATGGGGATTACCCTGTCTCCACCCTGTATTGACCTTGGACTTCGACAGTAACCTCAAATCCCAATGCTCGCTTATATAACGCCTGAACAATATTTAAAAGAAAAAAAAAAAAAAAAAAAACACAAAAAGGTGATATGTACTGATCGTAGTGGGGAGCCTACCTCCCCACTACAATATCTATGCCTAATATTCTAGTGACTATCCCACGATATGGACTTCGCCGTAATGTATACTTAACAAAGTATACTACGATCAATCCTAAGGGCAGTGGATGATTCCATTTATAGAATTAGGCGTCCTAGAGTGGAGCGGTTAGCGTGCTAAGGATTATGCAGGGCTTAGGTACAGGCGACTGATTGGATACATTGTAGGCTCTTGTATATCACTACCCCAGAGTTCCGGTATCTTACCTCTAGGGCTATTATATAGTTTAAGCGCGGGTGGAGAGAGATTGAAGGTGAGAGAGTTATGAGTTAACAATAGGAATGAGCAAGAGGACAATAGAATGAACAAGAGAGCAATAGAAATAATAAAGAGAAAAATAGATAGGATCAACGGAATCCATGGATGGTCGCCGTCGCCCAATTGAAGCAAAATCACAGATATAAACACTACCCTCCTCCCCTTTCCTAACTGTCCTTTCTTTTTCCCTCAAACAACGATCAACCTTCTGATTTCTGTACCACTACTTTTCTTTTTGCTAAACAACAATCTCCTTGCTTTTTTCCTCAAGCAACGATCAACCTTCTGATTTCTGCACTACTACTTTTTCTTCACCAAACAACAATCACCCTTCTGATTTCTACAACCTTGCTAGTCTTATCTGACCGAGAAGTGAGGCTAAGATCAGTCCCTCACTTTATGCACAGACTGACATTTTGTTCTCTTAGCAAGATGTCGCAGTTACCAGGATTAAAGTTATCCGCAAAGCAATCTGTGGTCGCAAGCCTAAATACTATCCCCATCTCATTCCCAACCAAACCAGTCTCGACCAGAAAGCTTCCTGACCTTGAAGCAGCGCTGAAGAAAGTAGCTTCCGCACGGAGCAAGTTTTATGTGCGAAAGATTGGCATATTGATCCGGTGGGAAAACGATGAAACTGGCGCAGAGAATGATATGGTGACAATGGAATCAACTCTGAAACCGCTTGGGGTCCAATGTAACAGATTTGTGATCCCGAATTCGGACAAAACACCAGCCTGGAGCCTGCAAGAGAATCTCAACAAACTCCTTGGACAATGTATCCGGTCGTCACTACCCTCTCTGTTCATTTTCTTTTATGTTGGTCATGGTGGCCTCCATGATGATGCTCTGTGCTTTACGTCACGTCATAAAAGAATTCTGTGGCGGTCTATTAGAGGTACTCTGGAATCTGCACAGTCAGTGGATTCTCTGGTAATACTCGATTGCTGCCACGCGGCTGCTGCAGCACGGCAGCCCAACTCGACCACGAATATTCATATCATTGCGGCGTGTGGAGTTCATGAAATTGCGTCCGTACGCTCAAGTACCGCTTCATTTACCCAAAGACTGTCCCGCGCCGTGCAAAAGTTTAAGAACCAACAGAATTTCACAACGGCTGAGTGGTACCAGCAAGTACAAGTCGAGAAGCCTAAGCATGCCCCCCACGCCGTGTTTGAAACGTTTAGCGGCACCAGGGCAATTAGCCTTGCGTTCAGTGATACTAGTCGATCCCGCCTCCCTCGGCCATTATCTGGAGTGAGCCAAAAGCACATGCTGGTGAAGCTGACGCTTGAGGGGCAACGAGACGCTGTGGATAGCTTTTCAAAAGCCGTTCGCTCACTCCCGCCGAACATGAAAGTTGAGATTTGCAATGCATTCGAAACCGATGCCTCTGTTTTCTTTATCCTACAGATTTCATGGGAAGGGTGGGTTCTGTGGACCAGCGTTGTACATTTGGACTTTGTGGGTGTAACGCTCGGCCCTGATTTACTCCCCCGAAAAGCCATTCCCCCTGCCTCAGTCTCTGGGGAGAATTTGCCTCCTGAAGACCTCTCTTTCAAGGAAGTATGATAATTTTTCTTTTTGATATTTCCGTTTAGCTTGGCTTGCACTTTGTTCTGCTTCGCTTTTGCTTTGCTCTTCTGTGTCTTTTCTGTTTCTCTGCTTTTATCTATCCTCAAGATAATTTATCGCATTCGGTGGCAGACTGAGATCGGCGCTCTCAAAGAAAAGTGCCGATATGTTGTACATCGCACGTTTATCCTTGAGTGCACGAGTGAACTCCGGTACGACGCCGCGTAACTCATGGGCGAACCCATTGTGGTGTCGAATGCCACGGATAACAGCGAAGCGTTGGACTTTTAGTCCCAGACCACGAGGAATCTTTTGGCCACGAATTGCGGCATTGCAGTCATCTCTATTGTATCGAGTGATTCCGAGTCTTTTTTCCAACGGAAGATCTTCCAGGCGGAATTTGGTTTTGCCCATGATGATAGATCGGTGAGTTCAAGCTATTTTTCTAATAGGTGGAAGTGAATTTGGGCCATGAAGGATTGATGGAGAATACCAAGTACTCAAATGAACTGTATGCAATGTGCATGGCTTATACTGACTCATATGGATCACGTCTTCTACCTAGGTACTTTCCAAAATCGGCTCCCGAGGCGCCAGGTTGGATACCCACATATTATTCTGCGGGGCGTGCCTGTGCGTTGTTTTATGATGAAGAGCGTGGAAATAGCCATGTCCAAAATGGATCGGCGGAATGCCATTCTTTATATATCAGAATATGCCAAGCAATGTTGAAGCCGAGGAAAATCTTCCCACCGAAGTGTGTTTCTCGGGGTAAGGAAGGCGATCCGATTTGGAAAAGCGTCACCTTGAAAAGTACGTGCAGAGTAACTTGAAAGAGGGTAATGATAACCCTCAATTCCAACAATTTGCTATAGACATTGAGCGCTGTTATCCTATGACTGCACTTTTCAGGAACAGCGGGGTAGTCTACTCGAGTGAGTGGACAAACGAGCCTTTGTAAGAAGTGAGGATTGGATTTTGGTAAAAAGGGAGCTTAATGTAGCGTCTAATGTAGCCACTTTCGGTAGCCGATTTACCGTCAATTACCATTGTGCTGAAAATCGAGAGATTGTCTCTTGCATGGAGATATCATCGTTCTTTTACAATATTAGTAAAAGTATTTAACATAGAGCAAAGACATGTTGTGTATCTTCCTGTTGTGGATAACCAGATTTTGGTCCATAATACAGACACTGGGTATTGTATTCAGTTAGATATGCTTGGGACTGTCCTTGTTAGTATCATGGAGGAGCCTATAAACAGTGACTATTAAGTAAAATTTAAAACATATGTACATATGTACTACCTGGACAGGTACCTCGGAATAACTATACCTAGGTAGGGTAGTTGTGTATACATACACTAAGACTACGCTAACATATACTAAGACTAGCGCCGGCTCGGATGCCGGAGACTGTGTAAGGCGAAGGTGTCTCGGAGATCGGTAAGAGGAGGTCCGAGGGAGGTACTTTATGCATATTTTATAATACGAAGTATACACAAGTACGACCTGTACGAATACGACGTATAACTAATATGACGTTAAAATTACAGTATAATGTCTTGGCGTTGAGGCCAATATGGTAGGATGTCACATGCATTATCGTATAACTTTTTTATGTACCGATGTATGATGTGTATAATTCCAGTATCATCCAATCAACGGGTTGGACCGAAGTATGGGATGTTATCTGTCCGCTGCATCCACGACTGCCAAGAAACCAAGCCAGCCTTGTGGACTCACCTTTTTGAAACATTACGAAGCATTCGATATGCGGTGTATGCCCCGGTGTATGGGTGTATGTCCATGGTAAAAATGCAAAATTCTAAAAAAATAAAAAAGATTCCAGAGCTGTTGATTCCGGTGACTCCCGTGGCTGTCCTGGCTGCTCTGGCTGCCCTGGCACCTGCCCTGGTCATCCCTCTATTTTGAACACAACCAGATGGCCCTGAACCCCCCTCAGTTACCTCCATACCTCAAATCCTCTCATTCTTAAGATACATAGTTGTTGCTAGGGTCTCTTTTTTCCTTCCCTTTTCACTTCAAGAGGCGGTACATAGATCCTGGTTCCTTTGATAGCCACATCATGGGAGCTGGAGCGGTCATAGAGCCTCTGGTGGTTATTGTTCTCTTGTTTGGAGGCACCTGGATCAACCGCTCTGTGGGATCATCCTCGACTCGACGTTACAGCCGACGGAACTCGAACGACCTTCAACGAGCTACTTCATCTGATTCTCTGGAGTCGGGATACTCAGACCAATCGACAAAGGATGGCCTATTGGGCTCTCGGTCCCGCTCACCGCCAGTCCCAGAAGATAGATGGCACAAGCGACAGATTAGACTCCTAGGGTTGAACTTTGAGGTGTCATCCCCGAATACGATCGTCTTCCAAGACCGCTTGCTCAGTCGGTTGCTTCGAAAGTTTCCTTTCTTGGTGGAATGTTGGTATTGGGCTTTGGTTTACTGGGTAGGTGAATTTTGCTATGTGCTTCCTTAATCTATAGCCTTGGCCAAACCCATAACTCATAAATTCGTGCAGACGTACCAGCTCGGTCGCGCCTTTACCGCCGTCACTCTCAAGGATGACACCGTCGATGTTGCGAGGAGACATGCATTGCAGCTAATCGTGATCGAGGAGAATTTGGGTATATTCTGGGAGACCTTGATTCAAAGGCGCTTCCTTCGCCAGCCCCTTGTCATGCCTTGGATCAATTGGATATACTCCTTCATACACATTCCCGGGACAATCGCGTTTCTTGTCTGGCTCTACTACTATACTACCGTGCGGAATCGAATCGACGAGGCTCAGCCTGGAAAGCCCAGGGGTGCTGTGAGTGGGTCACCTGCAGGTCCTCTACTATACCAGGCCCGCCGGCGGACTTTGGCTGTGTGCAATCTTCTCGCATTTGTGGTTTTCACTCTTTGGCCTTGCATGCCACCTCGGTTACTGAGTGACCCAGTCGCGGATGGTGAAGAGGCGGATCTCGGCCGCAGTTATGGGTTCGTGGACACGGTGCATGGTATCAACGGAGCAGGCAGTGTTTGGACAGAAAATCGCTTCTGTAATCAATATGGCAAGTTTTGTCTAACCTGAATTTTCTCGATGAATCCTTGACTTACTGTCAGCAGCGGCAATGCCTTCCTTGCATTTTGGGTACTCTTTAATGATCGGCCTCACACTGATAACAATCCCTTTGCCACAACACCACCGGCGCACAATCCTGCGTACTAGGTTGACCCGAATCCTGGGATTGAATCTCCCGTCATGGCGCCGCCTTGTTTGCGTCACACTCGGCTTCCTATATCCGTTTACCATCCTTGTGGCCATCGTTGCCACAGCCAACCATTTCATTCTGGACGCTGTTGCGGGAGCTCTTGTATGTGCCTTGGGGTGGTATTTTAATAGGGTGCTGCTCAATCTGTTGCCACTGGAGGACTACTTCCTTTGCCTTGTCCGGATCCACAAGCCGGAACCGTCACTTCTCGATATCCCTGAAGAGGATCTCCCCACGAGTGAAACTGCTTCTGAGCATGCTCGCATCTGAGTCCACTCACTAGGGTTTGGCATTTCCTAGTCGATTCGACTTTGGATTCAGCGTCTTTTCTTTAGAACTTGATACCCTGTATGAACCCCCAGCCAGACCGGTCTGGTTTATAATCTGTGCATATGGACCTTCTAGTTATTGTTACCCAGTTCTCTCTGCTGTGTCTCCTCTCCTGTACCTAATTGGCCAATTAATATGTTTATGCAAGTAAGATTAAGATTCTTTGTTTGCCAGAAGAACCTGAAAGATGAGCATCTGAGGATCTAACAACATCCTTTGTCTACATAGTAACATACATGACTATGACCGTATATTTATACATTATACACATATATACAAAGACAACCTAAATATACAAAGCAAACCTCATAATAATATTTCTTTTAGGTGTATGATATAAAAACATAAAAATCTCCTAGGAAAAAAAAAGCATCATCTTTAGTTGGGGGTTGCACTTACATAGAACTCTCGATGCGTCCAGGAACCAGAAATCAACCTGTCCGATTTGTTTCGTTTATCCCTCGTATTCGCCCATCCCCATTCAACACCCAACAATCCCGATTATATTGTGCTTCATAACATGTACGTCGTCGCCGTCACCGACACGGGAGCCGCGAGTTGACAACGTGAAGTCATGTCGAGGTACAGAATCGCAAGCTCCCTAGACGACCGTTCATTTCACGATCTGCTCACGGTGAAGTGATTGCATATCATTCGATACGATCTCAAGAACGGTTGGCAACCTCAATCTATATTGTCAATCTATTTGACAAATTGTGATTGCTTGCAAAGAGATTCGGACTGCATGCGACTGAAGATAAATGTGATCAAATCGTACCCAACACCAATACACAAGCTCTGGACCAGATTGTTATAGCCTATAACAAAAGGAACATGTCACTCTTCTTGCAGTATGGTCTGGTTTGAATCGAGGAACTTGCAGTGGAGTGAAAGGAATCTAACGAAGAATGCCAGGTTCATCCGCATGTGCTCAGCCATGCCCGGAATATCGTGGGGTATACAAGAGTATACAAGACATATGAATGACGGGAAGATGTTCCTCAAGAACAACCACCAATTAACTGCATATCAATTACCAATTGATTTTGCGCCGTGTTGCCAAGATATATGGTGACTCTGAAGACATACCCGTGAACAGCAAGAGACGTCGAACCCCTCATCTGCTGTGTGCTATATTCCATCAACCTGCGAGACGGAGGAGATCAGAAAGAGTCTCGGTTGTTTCTTCGCTTTATGCCGAAACATTTACGATCTGTGGGATAGACAATCCCACCATCCTAGTGGTCACTTGCCACTTCCTCTTCCCTCCCCCTCTTCACACCTATTAGGAGTTGACAATACATCGTATTGACATCTCTAATACATGCCCCCCGTTTTGATGCACCTATTATCTATCGACATCAAAGAGGTATGTAGCTATTCAGAGCTATCTCAGCCCCTATGCGCATTGTGCAACCCTCTTCCATTGTCCACTCCAAATACCATTCCCCAAGGCTGTTCAGATCTGAAAAACAAAACAAACCATCAGCCTCATCATCTCCAATTCACCGTTTTACTTGTTGTGTGGTGACCTTGAAAGTTGTGGCGTCATTGGGGGTCTTCCGTTCTCAGACGCGTCTTGAAGTTCCCGCGCCTTTCGCGACTCTCTTCTCTTCTCCACATCTCTCCTACACCTCCCCTGGAAGCTTCCACCCACCACCTACCCCAGCTTCAATCTACCAATCGCCTACTGATTTTTAACTTATATCATCCCAGCTTGCCAATATGGCTGATGATACCCCCGTGTCTGCGCCCGTCGAGGGCGACCAGCCCGAGCGCGCTACTGAGCAACCCACTGACTCCGAGAAGAAGTCTGAGGGTGTGACTGAGTCGGAAGACAAGCCTGCCGGTAAGCATGGACTGATTGATATCACTCAATCATTTTGCGCCTCTATTTCCCAGCGCTGTCCCCCGGTCGGGACATCCTGTTTCTGTGCGACACTAACCCACTGTTTCTTCCAGAGACTGAAGCCACGACCGAGAAGAACGCGGGCGCTGAAGCTGAGGCCGATAAGCCTACTGCCGCTGATGAAGTTCCCGAGGCCAAGGCTGATGGCGAAACTGCCGAAGCTGCACCTGCCGATGCAGAGGCTGCTGCGCCCGCGGAGACCAACGGAACCCCTGCCTCGGCAAAGAAGTCCTCCAAGAACCGTCGCACCTCCACTGGTGCCACTCAGAAGCTGAGCCGCAAGAAGTCCCAGAGTCGCATCACTCACCTGGACGCTAAGCCCGGCCAAACCTATCTTGCACGCCTTCGCAGTTATGCGCCCTGGCCCGCTATCATCTGTGACGAGGGCATTCTGCCTCCCAGCTTGCTTGAAACTCGCCCCGTTACCGCCATGCAGAAGGATGGATCCTACAAAGGCGAGTATGGTGACGATGGCAGACGCGCCCATGAACGTACCTTCCCCGTCATGTTCTTCGACACCAATGAATTGTAAGTCAACATCCGCGCACCCTCTACGCTAGACGCGAATTTGCTGCTGACTATTTTTTTTGACAGTGCCTGGGTTCCCAACACCAACCTGACCCCGCTCGACCCTGCCGAGTGCAAAAACATCTCCGAGAAGAATAAAAGCAAATCACTCGTCAATGCCTACAAGGTCGCATCCGAGGGCCACAACCTTCAGTACTTCAAGAAGCTCCTGAACGAGCACCAGGCAGCTATTGACCAGGAAGAGGCTGAGTTTGAAGCTCAGGAAGCAGAGAAGGCAGCTGCCAAGGCCGCAAAGGAGGCCAAGAAGGGTAAGCGCAAGAGCAAGGGTGCTGAGACTGATGTTGAGATGGAGGATGCGGACGACTCCAAGAAATCCAAGGCTCCTTCTAGGAAGCGCAAGAAGGACGTTGAGACCGATGCTGAGACGGAAAAGGTATGTGTTACAGGATCATTGCGATTTTGATCTCGCTCATCTCACAATATTATAGCCCGCTAAGACTCCCAAGTCCAACACCAAGCTCAAGTTGACCACCCCCAAGGCTCCCGCCGAGGACACCGGAAAGAAGACTCCCTCAAAGACCAAGAAGGCACCTGCCAAGAAGGGCAAGGCAGCTCCCGCTGCCAGCGACGAAGGAGACAGTGCCGATGCTAAGGAATCCGAAAAGCCCATTGACCCAGAGGAGTTGAGAAAGAAGAAGGAGAAAGAGAGTACGCAATCCCCCGTCTTCCCCGACGATCCCGATCAGGCCAGCTTATTGTACATTGCAGTTCTGTTCCTCCGTCACAAGCTTCAGAAGGGTTTCATCTCCCGTGACCAACCCCCCAAGGAAGATGAGATGGCCAGTATGGCCAGCTACTTTGACAAGTTGGAGAAGCACTCGGACTTGGAGGTGTCGATCATCCGTTCGACCAAGATTAACAAGGTCCTTAAGATGATTGTCAAGCTTAACTCAATTCCTCGGGATGAGGAGTTTAACTTCCGCCACCGTGCTATGAGTATCTTGTCTAGCTGGAAGAACATCCTGGACGCGGACACTCCCGGCCCTGCTGACAAGGATGAGAAGCCTGCGGTTAACGGATCTAAGGAGGAGGATGGCGTTGAAACCCCCAAGCTGGAGACAGAAGAGGAGAAGGAGCCTGAGTCCAAGTCGACCAAGGATGTTGATTCTCCCATGCCCGACGCGGATGAGAAGGCCCCCGAGCCGGAGAAGGAAGAAAAGCCGGAGAAGGCAGTTGAGGAGCCCACCGAGGAGAAGTCCGAGGAGAAGTCCGAGGAGAAGTCCGTCGAGGCTACTGCTTAAGTAGTCTAAGAATCACGACTTTGCAATGTCTGTTTTCTTATTCTTTTCCATTTGCGCTCTCATTCATGTTCTCTTCTCTGTCTCTGTTTCAATCTACGCGGTTCTGCCGGTTTGTTTCCTTTTTTTATCTTTTTTGTCACCTGCCAATGCAATACTGGGATACGGGGCTGGACCAACCAGCAAGGCTTCTTTGAATCAATTGAAAATGTGATTGTTCTTTCTTTCTGAAGTGGCTTCTGCACATTGACTTGTGTCCTGGCCATGGAGCATGGGAGTTACCTGGTTCTGGGTCTTTTCCCAGAGGTTGCACTCCAAGGATCTCTTTCGATGTCGAGCCCATTGTGTACCAAATTGGGCCCAGAGTATCGGAAAGAATGTTGTTTTATGACGTGAAAATGAACAGAAAGGTCCCCAAGGGTACGTAATGGAGAGGCTATGTCTTCTTCACTGCATGTATTGAGCTCTTGAATACAAGGATCCATAATAGCTGTTCAGTAAACCAGTAAACCAGTAAATAGTAATAGTGGAACGGATGTAAGACTCCGTGGAAGGTTAAATTCCATGCAATTGAGGTTATTTCTATAAAATGTCTATTTGAATGTAGTCAACGTATCGACGGGAGAAGCATGAAATGCTTATATGCCCAGCTCTTTGCAAAAAACCAAAAATCCCCACGCCTTCTATATATAATGGATGCAGTTATACATCATGCTCCTCGAAACCAAATGAAAAAGAAAACACAGTATGACGCCGGTTCGATGAAATCCCCAGATTTCCTGTCCAAATCACTCATGCCTCACTCGCACCAACGCCATCTTCGACAGCGATGACAACTACAACGCAGATATCATCAACTTTTCCACCGCGGTAATAGTCACCCGGGTGGTAGCGCTGAGCCTCCTTAGCAAAGGGCCCATCGCGGCGATAGTCGACACTAGCAATTTTCGCCTCGCCAGCAATCGTGGCCGCAAGAACAGACTGCAACGTGACTCCATCCTCAGGTCCAGACTCGGTATTAGCCGGGTCCTTGGAAAGCGGCGAGCCCGATGGAGTGGGAAGAGCATCAGCCAATCCACCTGGCGCAGCCAATGCACGCAGGTTCTCCGAGACCCCAACGCCAGACTCTGTAGCTGTCCACGCGCCAGTCATAACCATGCGGCTCGTGATGAGCTTGAGGATATCCTGGTTGTTGAGATTATCAAAAACGCCATCGGTGGCAATAATGAGCACATCTCCATGCTGCATCTGCACATTTGTGACCGAGGCATCACGGGGGAAATCCTCCAAAAACGCCCCACCAAAGACAGAAGCCTGGGCCCGCATGCGCGGCGGGATCACACTAAGCTGGTACGGGGTATTAAAACCGTGGGTCTGCGGAACCGAGTAATGATGCACCGCTGCCCTCCTCAACAACACTGAGCCTGAATCACCCAAATTGGCCAGCTCGACCCGTCCATCCGGCAACGCGACGCCAACAGATGCAGTACTCCCACCCGCGCGGATGTTGGGATCCGCCACGACCTGATCGTATCCAGCCTGTATGAGGTATTTCGAGTGCAAGCGCTCGGCAGGCTCATGCCAGGTCTGCGCGGTCTCCGCCATGTAGTTGCACAATCCATGCGAGAAGTCTGCCGGATCGACGCGGGATTCCGTCCAGCCTCCTACACCGTCTGCGACGCCGAAGGCGACTGCTTCGGCATTTGTGTCTTGGTAGTCTGAGATGCGGTTTCCGATGCGGGTTACGAAGAAGGCGTCTTCGCCTGAGTCTGGGCGGTTGCGACGGCGACTGACAGAGTTCTTGTCCTTTGAGACGCCTAGGGCGTCTGCTGTTGGGTCGAAGTTGTATGCATTTTTGATGGGGTGGAAGCGGCGGCCTTTGCCAGAGGAGGAGACGGCCACGCGGTAGGAGAGGGTTGAGGACGAGGGCTTTTCGAAATTGGTTGTTGGGGTTGCGTGGAAGGCTCGGCGGGAGGGTTGGCGGGTTAGATTCAGGCTTAGACGGGTGTTTGGTCTGAGCCTTGCGGTATGGGAGGACAAGCGGACATGTTGGGATTTGAACAGGGAGGGTGTGTATGTGCTCGGATTGGTGGAGATTGAATAGACGCCGTCTCGAACGATGGCTTGTAGGCTACTGCAGGCGGAACTGCAGGCTCTACAGGAAACACTTGGCGGGATCATCTCAGGTTTGGGAAGTTATGTATAGTTCCCTCGTGGAGTATGAGCCTCCTATTTGAGAGCGAGAGGAACAATAAGAAAGAGGAATTAAGAGGTATAAAGGTTGAATCAAAAAGCCAGAAAGCCAAAAAAAAAATCCAGGAGCTGAACGAATCTCAACGGATAAGACAAGTACCCGCCCTTATCGTCCGACCGCCTGGCGTCATTGATTTTTCGTGGATACCAGATTTCTCAGGCAGAAATTATTAAATTGTATGGGGTTGGACTTGGTGTGGGAAGGACATATATTTATACAAAGAGAGAGGGAGATAGGGAGAGCAAGAATAAATTCAAATACTATCCTCATGAGTAGTTGAAGTCAAACATATACAATTTGATCAGACCTGAACTAGTATGCTCTTCAACGCGTTACCGCCCAAGTCTATCAATTATTCTGCCGCCCGCAACATCTTCTCTCCCGCCAACCTTTTTCTCTTCGCTACAAGATACCCCAATTCTTTTCTTTTACTCAAGCGCAAGTCTTTATTAATCTGCTTTTTGAGCTACTGGAGAAGCACAAGCTTCTAAGTTGCCCAATATGATGCACCCGGCGCGACAAGCATATGTCGAGGAGACGGAAGACACAGACATGGGGGGCATCAGCTATGCCGATCTTCGTAAGTCGTTCTCGAAACACGTTTTATTTGACGCCTACTAATAAAAATATAGCCACGGACCAAGACTATGATATGCCCACTACCCCAGGGGGTATCCCAACCGAGCGGGCCTCCGCCATTCTATCACAATTTGAACGGAAACGGAGAGCAGCAGCGATGGTGGTTCCAACAGATGACACACGAGTACGCTCACGACTACGAGAGCTTGGGGAGCCCATTACGCTATTCGGCGAAGGACCATCAGAGCGACGCGATCGTCTGCGTGAATTGTTGACCGACATGGCGGAGCAACAAGGCGGAGTCGAGATAGAAATGGAAGAAGCGGAGGAAGAAGGGGAACAACAAGAAGAATTCTTCACAGAGGGCGGGAATGATTTACTCGAGGCGCGGAAATATATTGCGCGCTATTCTTTGCCCCGCGCAAAGGCTCGTGTGGCCCGGCTTAAGGACGAATCAACAATTACACTTCGAACGCATATCAAACATCGCAAAGCCGTCAAGGAGAAGCTACAAGGATTTGATCTTTACGGGTCTCAGATTGCTGGCGATCGGCCGGTTAGCATTTGTCGATTCGCGCCGGATGGACAGACAATCGCTGCTGGAAACTGGAGCGGTGGGATCAAATTGCTCAGCGTACCCAACCTGGAAGAAAAAGCGAGTTTGAAGGCGCATACGGATCGAGTGGGTGGTTTGTCGTGGTTCCCCGGCGCCACTCTCCCCAGCTCGAATGTCTCACCCTCGACTGTCAATTTGATCTCCGGAGGCGGCGAAGGAAATCTCAACCTCTGGGCCCTTGACCAAGAAAAGCCGCTGGCTACGTTAACTGGCCACTCGGGCCGCGTATGCCGTACCGAGTTCCACCCTTCGGGTCGATATGCAGCATCGGCATCCTTCGACAGCTCATGGCGGCTGTGGGATGTTGAAACGGCAACCGAGCTTCTGCTGCAAGAAGGCCATTCGCGAGAGGTCTATACAGTGGCGTTCAACAACGATGGCTCTCTTGTGGCCAGTGGTGGATTCGACAGCATCGGACGTATCTGGGATCTGCGGGTAGGACGCAACGTGATGATTCTCGACGGCCACATCCGCGAGATCTACGGTATGGACTGGGGTGTTGATGGTCACCGGGTACTGTCTGGTTCCGGGGATGGCTGGGTCAAATGCTGGGACTTGCGACAGATGAAGGAGACGGGTGGAATTGGTGCTCATAAGAGCGTGGTATCGGATCTCCGCTGGTACAAGGGTGTAGAGTCTGCGTCATTCTTGCCTTCTACGGACGGTGGGATGGACATTGATGGCGCTCCACCAGCTGCCGATAAAGCAGCGGAGGCGCCCTCGCCCAAGAAATCAGGCACATTCTTTGTGAGCAGTGGATTTGATAAGAGTGTCAACATCTTTAGCGCGGATGACTGGTCCCTCGTGAAGTCGCTGAGCGGCCACTCGGGCAACGTTCTCAGCACGGACATCAGTGACGATGCCAAGTGGATTGCTAGCTGCGGTCACGATCGTACTGTGAAGCTTTGGGGGATTGAATGATCCAGGTTTATACATTGGCTCTTCAACTATCGACTTTGTGCCTCCTAATTGGAAATGGCATACAATCCAAAGAACAAGCTGTAGTTCGCTGAATACATATATGTAAGAATGTAAGAATGTAAGAATTCTCAAGTATCCAGGTCGATATCCTTATATCCTTCGTAGTCTGTTCCTGAATGGTAGTCACGTGCCAAATGCGGGGATGACGTAAAGCGGTACGCCGAGGGCTTTTTGTCAACTTTGAACTGATAGCTCTTCTCTTGACCTTCCCTTGACCATAAACATACTACATAGTCATGGCTTTCCGTTCACAGAGAATTGCGCAGCATCTCTGTCGCACAGCAACCCAACGGCCACTCTCACAGCCAACCAACTCGCTATCAAACACAAGCCAAGATGCATGCATGCTCTGCCGATATCGCCAGCCAGCGCGAGGACTCACAACCCTCCCAGCACGTCGATCTCCCATAATCCAGACACCTACGAGACAGCGCCGCGCTGCGTCAACAGAAACCTCTACTCCAACAGAACCAAGCAAATCCACCCTCGCCGGCGCACCAGACATAACCAACCACTACACGATTTTCCCTCGAACGCTACCAGCCGGTCCACCACCTGGCTCGACGTTCGCAATCTCAACCAGCGACCTCCGCCGCGAATTCCTCCAATTGCAAGGTCTTGTCCACCCGGACAAATACCCTAATGGAGCAGAGAAGCAGCTTGCCGAGGGTCTCTCAGCCCGGATCAACGAAGCGTACCGGACGCTTCTGGACCCGCTGCAGCGGGCCCAGTACATTCTACGGGAATGGCATGGGATCGACGTGACGGCGGAAGACGCGTCGACTAAGCATGCGCTTGATGCGGAGACGCTGATGGAAGTTATGGAGGTGCAGGAGACTATTGAAGAAGTTGGGGCTTCTGCTGATGCGGAGGCGCAGATCAATGGGCTCAAGAAGGAGAATGAGGGGAGGATTGTTGAGTGTGTGGAGAGACTTGGGGAGGCGTTTGAGAAGGGGGATTTGGAGGCAGCGAGGAAGGAATGTATTCGATTGCGATTTTGGTATAGTGTTGGGGAGGGGTTGAGGGAGTGGGAGCCTGGGAACACAGAGATTCGGTTGATGCATAGTAGTTGAATGATTTATTTTGTATATTATGGGATGTTTTGTTTTGGATATACTATTTGGATAGACTACTCTACTCTTTTTTACATATGACATTTAGAGAATCTTGGATGTATGAAGTATATATTCTACGGGTGCCAATTATCGTCGTGGATTTGGGTGCTTTTTTCCCCATAGGACAGTCGTTTAAGCTTGTTTCAAGGGAAAAGAGGGGCAAGGAATATATTCAACCTGTCGTAGACGAGTCCTGAAAGGATTGAAATACCTATTTTTGTAAATCTATCCATAAATATCTTTTGTACTCCGTAGATGTCCTTGCTAATCCAACCTCGGTATAAATTAGGTACCTTTTTAGGGCATCGTTGTCACCATTGACCGCTACATCCCAAATATCGCAATATCGCAATATCGCAAATATCCAAGACAAATCAAAATTAAAAAAAAAAAAATTCAAAATAAGTGAAGCTTCAAACTCCAAATGGAGCTCTCAGGAACAAACCAACCAGTGAGGCCACAGATTGGGTTCTCTCGAGGCTGGGGATTGGGCACAAACCTGCTGACGCCAACGTCGCCCGACAATTGGACAGTCCAGGATCCAGTTATGACCAGCTGTTCTGTATGGCTGCTCTCTATGGTTCTTCTGCGTTGTTTTTTGGTCTCGGTGAGAGCGGCATTTCAATCAAATGGGTTCAAATGAACAGATGGAGGGTGGTTATTGGTATTGAGAGGGTTTAACAAGCCAGACATCGAGAATATAGTGTAGGGCGAGTAGACACGACAACATCAAGTCTCATTTTGGCCCCATTTCGCATATCTTTATAGAGTCATCAGGTCTAGCGTTAGTACAATGGGTCCTGGAAATGCTTCCTGCCCCCATCACAGCTGCACACGTTGCAGACTACTACCTTTGCCCAAGAACCCTTCCGGTGCCTTGGGAATCGGAGGTAAAAATATTTAATGGGACTATCCTGCATGTTAGAACGTAGATTAATTTCATCTCATCCCTTCTGTAGAAGGTCAATTGTCTCTCTCATGGAGTCTGTTCCCAATTTTAGCAGGTATGGAGAGCGCATCTCATCTCAGTCTATGACTCAGGTGTATACACACTCAGGTGTGAGTAGACCGCTAATTCAACAACTTCAGTATCGTCCACTCACCGCCGTTCACCTTCCTTGTCGGCCCACGACATACGAAGCTGACAATCCAGTCGGGGCTGGCCGAACATGTCTCCAAACCACTTCATAATCTTATGAACGGTCCGACCAGGGAATCAAAACACCGAATCGCCGTTCTGGAAGAGGATGATGTCGAAACATTCGTCGCATTCACCGAGTATGCATATACCGGCGATTATAGTGTCCCTCGTCCCGAGCGGGAGGTCCAGGAAGAACACAAGGTTGGGGTAGTCGAGAGCTCGCCGAGTACCGCCACCTGGAGAGGCAATTACCGGACTGGTTCAATGTCGTCGACTATTCCACCCCCGGCTCCGTCGCCGCCACCACAGTTCCGTCATCGGGGACAAGCAGCGTACCAGCAGTCTGCGCCTGAACCCGAGCCGCCAGTACCTCAGCCTGTGTCCGAGCCCGCGCCCGTCGAGGTCAAGGAACCGGTTACTCCAACCTTTGCGCCAGAGCCTGAGGTGGAGTCAGCCCCAGAGCCCGAGGCTCCAGTCGAGGTAACAGAGCCGGAGCCAGAGACATACCACGAAGCGGAGACTGCTCCAGAGCCACCAGCCGAGGAAGTGCCTGCCGGCGATGAATGGGCGGTTCCGACCGAAGAACCTGCGACATGGGAACCAGAAGAACCCAAGGCAAACAAGAAGAAGGGAAAGAAAGGGAAGAAGGGCAAAAAGCAAGCAGAGCCCGTCGAAGAGGAACTTCCCGCGCCAGTCGAACCTGTCAGCCTTACGCCGCCATCAACACCACCTCCAGAAGTTGCTGCCGAGCCTGTCCCAGAGCCAGCAGCAGAGCCCGTTGAAGAATGGGCTACAGCAGAGCCTGCACCAGAACCAGAAGCAGAACAGACTGAGAACTGGGAACAGCCAGCTGAAGAACTTGCACCTGAACCTGAAGCGGCACCTGCATCCCAAGAGCCCGCACCTGCAGAAGAACAACAACAACCACCTGCTCCGGAAGGACCGATGGAAGATTCTTGGACTCAGGACAGAAGTGAAGGCACCAGCATTACCCAAGCCCAGCGCCAACGACCAATGCTCGACATGTCCTTTGCCAACCAGCAGGCCACCTCACCCTGCGAGCCGGGCCTCAACCTATGGGACGAGTTCACCTCCCTACAATACGACGAGCCAACCACCTCCAAATCCACCCCGGTCGAGACGCCAAGCAACGAACTCCCCTACATCACCTTCCACGCCAAAGTCTACGTCTTCGCCACACGGTACCTAATCCCTGCTCTGGCCCAGCTCTGCCTCCGAAAGCTGCACCGCGACCTGCTCCGACTGTCTTCGGCGGACTTCGAAACCGCCGATCTGGGTGACTCCCAGATTCTAGACGGCTTGGCAGCCACCAAGGCACAGATGGTGTTGGAGCTGGTACACTACGCCTACACCAAGACGGCCCGACTGGAGCCGATCTCGCCAACATCCGCGACACAGCTTCGGGAGAACCAGCTACGCCGACTGGTGGTTCACTATGCGGCATGCAACGTGAAGGAATTGGCACGGTATCATTCGGCGGAGGATTCGGTCTCGGCGACACCTTCTTTGCGGCCGGTGGATGCCAAGACGGATCGACTTGAGACTTCCACTTCCACTACCACTTCCCCTAAGAGTCTCCGTGCCTTGTTGGATTTGACCACGGAGCTGGCCTCTGATCTTGTCTACCGCATGATGTGAGTGGATGCTGGGATGTGATTGGGTATGAGATTGGAATGCCTAGAGTTTTGGTGTGTTTCTGGTTTTCTGCATCAAGTTGAGATATGATTTCATGCGTTGCTGCCCTGAAGATGTTTTGAAGGATCCGGCGTTCTGTTGCATTTTGCATTTTGCATTTGCGTTTTTGCATAATTTGAATTTGACATTTTCGAGGTGCATTGCATTATCTTCCCTTTTGTTCTGCATGATCTTGGCTGTTTTTTTTTTTTTCTGTTTTGTTTTGAATGAATGTGATTTTTATATTGTCCCATGGTTGTATGTAAGGTTCCGGGTGATCAGTGGGATCCCGAGTTGATAAATCAATAGACTCTCCATAGACTCCATAGAATCCATAGAATCCATAGAATCTATCGAATCCATAGACTAAGAACTCCATCGACTCCATAAGAGCCAGACCCTGAATGTGATAATGTGGATTTTTGATGACATCGTTTCATGAGTTTCATGAGTTTCATCACATATGATTCTCAGAACAAGGCTGGGCATCTTGGCGATAGATAAGCCAACTCATTCACCAATGACAATCCTAAGAATCCCTTGAGAGATGATCGACTGATCGACAAAGATCCATGTCGGAATTGGGTTCTTGGCGAGAATGGTGTCAATAGTGTTGTTTTAACGGGGGCTGTGTGAAGATAAGAGAAGGTCAGGGGAAAAAAACAGCCAAGAAATTCCGAGTACGTCAACGTTCCGAACTCCACCTCAACGTCAACTTTACAACTTCTCTCCTTGATCTTCATCCATTGCGTGTACTCTGCATAGAATTTGAAAAATGGTTCTACTACGTTGTGCATACACGCAATGGTGTTACCTAGCGATTCCTCGTGTTCACTAATCTCTTCCCTCTTCATAGCCCTTCACAGCCACCGAACTAAAGCTTGGCAGCGGACCGTCAACGATGTGTAGATCATCGTTCTTGGCGTTTGGCGTTCAGGCACGTTGGACGCGCATTGGAATCCCGGTTTAGACTTTTCTATACCTCCTATATACCCTATCGGGAGGGTTCGGCGTGAAACAAAAAGGAAATTACTGTCGGGCCGAATGAATTCGGGGTTGAGATTCATCATCTGAGTAACAGGTCTCTGATTCAAATGAATGATGTTGAACTGACACAATTCTGGTTATGAATTGTCAATCAGCCTTGTACTCTTGTCTCTCAAGGACCAGGTTATATCGATTGCCCAGAAAAAGAAACAGCGCTACGCCTCAATGATTTCTATATGTTCTTGGCAGAGTCCCATGCTCTTGACTTCACCACACCCCCTAGGCATCGAAGTTTTTTCTTGTATCTGGGTCTAACCTGCCCAGATCCGCAGTGGATCACAGTGTTTCCGGAACCCCTAGACGAACTAACCGCCACCCCCTGGTGCAGATTGGAGTATGATGAATCGTCCGAGCCCAATATCCTGGGCCGATCTATTCTTATAGATTTCTCTTAGTTTGAATTATGGAGTCGAACATGCCCGATTGAGACTGCTGGTAGGTCCGTCTCAAAGAACTCCATTGCCTTGACTACCCTTGTCTTCCTTGTATAGACTCCCTTTCCGGTTTCTAATCTTTTTTTTAAAAAAAAGTATAGTCTTGGAACTTCTTGGCTGATCTTCAGTGAATTATGGAATTATGGAATTGATATGCCTGTATACTCTTTGAATTAGTATATTAACATCTCCTCTCTCGCTCCTTCTTCCAGTTCATCCACTTCATTACATTCACTATCATTCATACTATCATTTCAATTCTTCAATTCTTTGCACTTGACTTTGCTTCTCTATTGCTTCTATGACCCATTGGTCTATAGTGTCTTGAATACATTCACTCTATACTCCTTTCATTTATGTGCCAACCTTAGGGCTTCATCTATACATACATCAAACCATCCACTCTATATACACACAATGTCCAATCCAATTCTACTAGGGGCCTACCCTAATCACAGCCAAGAGCTTCATCATCCTCCATCTGCACCAGCATCCTCTCACTCCGACATACCCTTCATGAACTCAGAGAAGTGCGAGAAGCAATACCCATTGAGCTTCCGCGAACGCCTCCGCCATTTTACATGGGCATGGTACACCCTCACCATGAGTGCTGGAGGCCTAGCCCTCCTCATCGCGAACCAGCCGAACAAATTCAAAGGCTACCGCGAGATCGGCCTCGCCATCTACCTCTTCAACCTCGTCCTCTTCTCCCTCGTCTGTTCTCTCATGGCAGCGCGCTTCATCCTCCACGGCGGAGCCCTCAACTCCCTCCGTCACGAACGTGAAGGCCTCTTCTTCCCAACCTTCTGGCTCTCCATCGCAACAATGATCACCGGTCTGGAGAAGTACTTCGGTGACAACCCTGCCCCATCCTTCACAACAACTCTCGAAGTCCTCTTCTGGATATACTGCTTCTGCACCTTCACTGTCGCTGTCGTACAATACTCCTTCGTCTTCACCTCGCACACCTACCGCCTCCAAACAATGATGCCCTCATGGATCCTGCCCGCCTTCCCAATCATGCTCAGCGGCACAATCGCATCCGTCATCTCCTCCCGCCAGCCCGAACGCGCAGCAATCCCAATCGTCACCGCCGGAATGACCTTCCAAGGTCTAGGCTTCTGCATCTCGTTCATGATGTACTCACACTATATCGGACGGCTGATGGAGAGCGGACTTCCCTGTCGGGAACACCGACCAGCGATGTTCATCTGCGTCGGACCACCAGCCTTCACAGCGCTTGCTCTGGTCGGTATGGCGCAGGGACTTCCCGAGACATTCAACGTGATGGGGAGTGAGGATACTGCCGCTGATGGACGGATGTTGGAGATACTGGCGTTGGCCGCGGGCGCGTTCTTGTGGGCGCTGAGCTTCTGGTTCTTCTGTGTTGCTGCTATCGCGGTTATCCGGGCGCCGCCGACGAACTTCCATCTCAGCTGGTGGGCGATGGTTTTCCCTAATACTGGGTTTACTATTGCTACTATTACCCTTGGGAATGCGTTTGATAGTGCGGCGATCAAGGGTGTTGGTTCGGCGATGACCATCTGCATTGTCTGCATGTTCATCTTTGTCTTTGTGAATCATGGTCTCGCGGTCTATCGTCAGGATATTATGTATCCTGGTAAGGATGAGGATACCTCGGACTGAGATGCTCTTCCGACCGAGGGATTCTTGGTTCTTGTGCTCTTTTTTGGTTTCTTGTCACTTTGGGCATTTTCTCGGCTTCTTGCACAACCTTTCTTTGCATTCTTTCGTCTTATTTCATTGCACACACTTCTGTCATCTCTCATTGTTGTTATTTTTTCGTTCTGATTTTGATCTTGTTGATTTCTGCTCTTTCATCTCAAAAGCGTTCAAGCACTCTGCCTTTGTTCTGGTCCTGTTGGAACTCTTCTGCATCTCCGGCGTCTCATGTCTTGTCTGATCTTCCATTTTCTTAGCGTCTACGTGTCAATAGAATTAGAACGAGAATAAATAATTTCATTGCAATCATTTGATAACTACTTAGTGATACAAAAACAAAGACCAAGCCCTTATGGACAAGTATGGAGTTCAAGAACCAAAACAAAAAGACAAGTCACGCGACCATAAAGCCCTACCTTGAAATCGTCATATGCCAAGAACACTACATTACACTACACAGGAGAAAAAAAAGACCAAAGTCCAGCCAGGAAAAAAAAAATACATTGAAAAGGCTCGTCTTGGCTTCATCCCGAAGGATTACTGGACCCCAGCACCACGATGAGGTGCGAGCCCACGCTGGGGAAATGGCAAATAGATGGCGAGATAAATGGTAGAAGACGTTGCATTCCAACATGGTAGCGAAGTCCCTCTCTTCACTTCCCAGCCGGCACCAGGTTTCCCCAGGACCGGTGGGCAGAAGGCGGGGGATAAATATGGAAGATGGATGGGTGGGAGGACATTGAACAAGAGATGGAAAGCAAGGTGTAAACAGACGTCAGATATAAACAAATGTCACAAAGATGTCATAGATGGCAGGCTCGTCTTGGCTTCACCCCGAAGGGTTACTGGACCCCAGCACCACGATGAGGTGCGAGCCGTCGCTGGGGAAATGGCATATAGATGGTGAGATAAATGGCAGAGGACGTTGCAGAAAGAAAGAAAGAAAAAATGAAGAACAGACATGGTGACAACGTCCCTCTCTTCACTTCCCAGTCGGCACCAGGTTGCCCCGGGACCGGTGAGCAGAAGGCGGGGGATAAATGATGAACAAGAAACCCAAAAGATGAAATGTAAGATGGTAAGTGGGAGAGGGGAGGGAGGGGGTGCAGAAAGATAAAGGATGAGGGATGGGGAGGAAAAAAAGAAGAGTTGGGGAGTTGAAGAAGAGAAGAGGAAAAAGAGGGGGAGGGGGGTATTTATAAAGAACAGAGTCGATGGCCTCAGGATACACTTTTACCTGATCACCTGGGCAATTTGTATGTCACCATTATGTCAATGTCAATATGTATGAAGTATAAGTACAAGTGGAAGTAGAAGAGAAGACAATGATATTGAATCCTATGTAAGAGATTGTCACCTTGCTCTAGCAAGTTTTGTTTGGGTATCATGATGACAGGAAAAAGCAGTCTTTTGCCGCACATGGCTTCGTCGCGGTGGAGCGACAGGTCGAGGTCATGCTCGATAGTCAAGCCTTGAAACGTCTTGAGCTTCTTGGAGCTGGCGCGCACTGGACAGACGGCCAGAAGCCCGCGACGCCGACGGCATCTGATGGACTACCATGTGGCCCCGTCCGTTGGGAAGGAGTGAACTGCTGAGGCGAGACTTCCAGAATTGTTTGGCAAAGACGGCCCTCAGAGTGCTGGTAGACTTGGGATGAAGTGCGAAAGCCGTCCACATCAGCTTAAGCAACCTTTCTGCCGACGTTACCGATTCCACGGCCGACAATGCTGACAATCACATCTCCATCTCCATTGTCAGGTGCGTCACGGATACCCCAGCCGGGCGCACCGAACTTGGACAGATCACGAGCGAGCTGGATAACGTTGGGATCAGCAATCACTTCTCGGCCAACCTGCAGCCGTCCAACATCCTCCGAACCCATGGTCATGAGGGTGAACATGGTTGTGGCAGCCGCAGGAGCCACACAACCTCCCTTGGCAACCGTCTCCAGAAGCTGGAATGCACACTGCTTTCCAACTTCCTCGGGGGCTTGACCACCCTGTGGCGGAGAGGCCACATCAGCTGAGAAGAGGCAACCTGTGGAAGACTCTGCCACCAAGGACAAACCAAATCCAAGGCCGATCTTCTTCTTCGCCTGGGGGTTGGTCTTATCCGGGGCTGGTACCAAAGGCGCAGATGCAACGTCGGAGAAGATATAAGTATCAGGGCTAAGTGGGTTGAGGATACCACGGGCGGTTTCAATCATGCGAGCGTTGTTCGAGCCAGACACACCAACCGAGTATACAACACCACGGATGCGCTTGATGCGGCCGGCGTTCATCAAGTGCAGAGTCTTCGGCAGACGGACCTGGTGGCCAAATACGAGCTGCACTTCACCACCACCACCCCTGCCGTTGGGACCGGTGTTTGAGCGTTTCAGGATACGGAGCTCGATGTTGTTGAATATACCGAATTGTCTGTACAGAGGAAGGATCGCAGTGCGAACGCTGTCGACGGACATATCTCCAGTCTGCGTCGACGAGGTGATGACACCGGGTCCTGTGAAGAGCACCTTCATGGGTGCTTTGGCGAAGGGGGCCAGTAGGCAGAGCGGGATCAGGAAGTAACTGAGTCCGCGGCTACAGTTTGACGGAATCTCGTAGGTGATCATGCCGCCGCTGGCTCCAGTACCGGCCGTGCTGCCAGTGACCAAACCCGGCTTGTAAACAAGCACGGTACCTGTGTATGAGATCTCCATTTGAGAGCCATTGGTGATTGCATCTAGGAGGCGGAGGAAAGAAATTTCATGAGGCGCAAGACCCGGATTCGTGGGCGACGAGGAACGAATTTGCGAAATGTGGACTGTGCGGCCGGTGAGGGTGGACAAGACCAAGCGATATACCAGATTGTGATGGGATGTAAACCGGAGGGGGGTTGAGAGGTGGCCATTTTGTGTGGTTGGTCAAGACTCTCGCCGTTAAACACTGTAGTCTGGCTGTTGGATTCGAGATATGAAAAAGAAAAATTGACGGAGGGAAGTTGATCCGGGCCGATAATTAAGTCCGGGGTGGAGCTGATATCTCCGGGGATCAGATCATCGTTTTTGATTTCTGAAGGTTCCGACCTCATGCGACTTTTGCAACAAAAACTTACAAAGTAGACTCTGAAAAGATCTGATCTTGGTATATTCACAATGCTTCTTCCGGCGCTGAACATCCCCAAATGGTAAGCCTGATACTTGATACTTCGCGTATATCTTACAATACCTCCCCCACTATGTGATTCATCACGCGACTCATAAGCAAGCTATCCTCCAACCCAATAGCTAACAATATCTATCCAGGCTTGAAGAAAACTCCCATCTCCTCCAACCACCAGTCAATAACTACTGTGTCTACCACCCCTCAACACCAGCCACAGCCGGCTACACAGTGATGATAGTGGGCGGGCCCAATGCCCGAACCGACTTCCACATCAACACAACCCCAGAGTTCTTCTACCAATACCGGGGATCAATGCTCCTCAAGACAGTCGACAACTCAACCACACCTCCTAGTTTCCAAGATATCCCTATCCATGAAGGCTCGATCTTCCTGCTGCCCGCGAATACCCCACACTGCCCCGTGCGCTTCAAGGATACTGTTGGTGTTGTGATGGAGCAGCCGCGGGCTAAGGATGCAGTCGATGCTATGAGATGGTATTGCAAGAACTGCAAGGAGATTGTCTGGGAGAAGAAGTTTGTGTGTGTTGACCTGGGGACACAGGTTAAGGCTGTGGTCGAGGAGTTTGCGGCTGACGAGGAAAAGCGCAAGTGTAAGGCTTGTGGAGAGATTGCGGCGTCGAAGTACCAGGATGGGGAAATCGTGCAGCCGCCGACTTATCCTGAATAGTGTATACTGGTCAAGTGAATTGGAGGGTGAGGTTGGTGAGGCCGTAATTGTAATATTGTTCGGTCATGAATGGTTATGAGTGACGAATCCGACATACTTTGAGATGGTAGTATGAATACAAATTAGAAAAAAAAAGAATAGAATGAAATGGATACCCTCGACATACCGTGTTATCCAAGTCTAGGTCAAGATACAACGGAATATGAAAAGTTGTTTTATACGACATCTTATTATGACCTAGGTTATGGTATTTATTACAAGCACACAGCTCCCACCGTGTTGCGAATCCTCTTCCTCCCCCCGAAAGAACACCATTTATTAACCGGGGTAACCGACCCAACAATCATGTACTAGAAAAAACACCCCATAGATGCATACAGCGGAGAGCTGCAATCTTGTGTGATGCACCGAACTCATGCCCCAATATATCCAGAACATTATTCATCAAGCGGGCAGTCGATACTTTCATGGCCATCTCGTTCGCAGAGAGCACACCACTTAGACTCATCGATAACTCCCGATGATTTACCGGCAATGGGAGCCATGGATGAGCTCACGGATGAGCTCAGCCCGCCGATGCCCTTCAGTCCTTCCATCACCACATCCCGTCCTGTCTTTAGTGCAGGGGGGTATCGGAATTAATGGATGAGGCTTTGGTCTGGAGGGGTTCGGTCTTCTCAACTGGGTGTTCATCGGAAAGTTCATCGGCAGCATCATGTTTGAGGTTCTTGGCGTTCTGGCCAGAGCCGAACATGCTGGTGCAGTTTAGGATGTCATGGCCGCCTGTTTCACAGATCTCGCACCACATGGTGTCCTCGTCGGAAGAGCGTTCAGATTCATGCATGGTCTCCAGTCGCGATAGAGAAGAGTTGGAGATACCGCGGTGGTGGCGGGGCTCCGAAGGAGCATCGTGCCAGTCGGTCGGGACCACTGTACGGTCAGAAAGACGGTTGGGATTGGGGTTGGGGTTGGGGTTGTTTGAGTGATTGGAGATATTACCCGCAGAGTGCGAGGTCCTGTGTTGCTTTGGTGAAAGAGTGATGGTAGAGCTGCGGCGACGACTACCAGACTGCAGGTGCATTTCTTGAAGTTGACGCTCTAGCTCTTCGATCCGATTGTCTTTGCGGTTTGTAGTTTCTTCCACCTCTTGCAGTCGAATCTCGAGCTGACTAACGTGCTCCGGATTATGATCATGATCTGCAGAGCCGTTCTGTCCCAAACCTGCCGCGCTGGGGTTTCCGCGACTCAATGAATGAATGATGGCCTTGAGTCCTCGAATCTCATCATCCTTCTGGTCCAATTCACTACTGCTTCGAGGTCCGTCAGCGGCAGCATGTGCATCTTTCAGCGCAGCGACAGAGTGATCACGCTCCTTCTTCAGCTCCAACTTGGTGCGTTCAACTTCACCGCGGAGGAACTCGACTTCGGCCCGAGCCTCGGCCTCTCCACGCCGAGCGTCCTCGAGGCCTTCCTCTAACTCCGAAACAAGCTCTTCCAACTGCTTGAGCTGCTGCGCAACAACCTCGACATCTTCGCCGCGGTCCAGCAGTTCTTTATTCTGCTGCATAATCTCGTCGATACGCTGTTCGTAAACGCGTTCTGTTTCGGAGGCTGCGATCTCCAATGTATCGAGGGTGCTTCTGAAGTCTGCGCGGTGGACGTCGAATTCCGCCGTTAATTGGTTAATCCGCTCGTTGCGTTCGCGTAGCTGTGTACGGAGCGACTGACCCTCCGATCCCTCCATCTCCTCCAATGTCTTTTGGAACTCGGTCAAAGTCCCCGACTGCTCATCGAGCTGCTTATCTCGGTCCAGAAGCTGCTTCTCTAGACTTTTGATCTGATCCTTCAAGTCTTGAGTCTCCGACGAGAGCGGCCGGCGGAAGTCCGATGGCCGTCCATACGACGAGGAGTCATCATCCACACTCAGTCGTGACGAGGGTCTATCGGACAGCCGAGATGGTGCCTTGACGGGGCTACGCATGGCGCCGTTCATCCCACTGGCCCTGGATGCTGCCGATGGTGTACGCAGGCCGGCCAAGCTTAGTTTCGGAGGAGGGGGCACGCGCGGGGATTCGGGTCGAGGGAGCGAGGGTCTTCGGACTCGAGGGCGGGGGTAGCAAGAGCTGCACCGACAGATTTGCTGAAGTTGACGGGTCCCCCACGTGCAGGAGTGGTTGGGGTAGATATATTCGAGGATCGCCTTGTGACATATTTGCTGTTGTTCATGGGAACGAATATGCCAGAACCCGGGATTGAGGTTGTAAAGTACTTCCGGCCATCGACATCGCCACTGTTTTTGCCTCGTTGCGCATGTTCGGAGCTCAGTTCAACACCTGCGAATCGTCCGGCCTTCCCCGCTACCGATCCCAAATATTTGACTGTCCCATGCATGCCACCGGGGACATTCACCACGTCACCGACCTGTACATCATCGGGGTGCGCCATTGCGGAGGGATATGGACAATATGAATAGAAAAAAAGAAGAGAAAAGGTGGGATGCAGCTTTTAAATAAGAGGTCCGGACGAATATCAATAGCCCCTGGAAGGGTACAGAAGTCAAGGGTGTAGAGGGAGCGTTAGGAGAATGCAAGGATATTAAGTTGACGGCCCAACTTCCATGATTAGGAAGAGAGGGAAAAAAAAAAAGAGAGACAAATGAAAAGGACAGACCCAACTAGTTCCCAGCTGAACCAGTTAGATTATGAGAAAAAAAAGAAAGAGAGAATGATCGAGAGATCGAGAAATCCAATCTAACAAGAGAAAGGGGGGAAGACAAGACAATAAATAAAAGACTCCACTCCACGTAATGCCAGCCGACACCTTCAACTTCCACCCATCTTTGCATATACAATCCTTACCTCTCTCTGTATCTCCAAGACATCTATCGACGATCTTGTCTATTCTGTACTAAATCTTGCGCATCTACCGTACCGGACGTTCCCGGGGCCCCGGCATCTCTACCTCTACCTCCTACCATCGCATTATACACCATGGCGCAATACTTCTTCGACCTCCTGTATAACTTCACGGATTGCATGTGTTGCTTTCCCAGCTCTCCGCAGCTAAAGATCAACAACCGGAGTTTCAAGCTCCTACGTTTGTTAGGCGAGGTATGGATATCCGATAACGGTAGCTGCAAGCTGGTCTGAACTGACAACGTAACAGGGTGGATTTTCCTACGTTTACCTAGTCCAAGATAAAGCGAGCTCCGAATTATTTGCGCTGAAGAAGATCCGCTGTCCTTTCGGCCAAGAATCCGTATCACAAGCCCTGAAAGAAGTCGAAGCCTACAACATCTTCAACTCCCAACCCAACATCATCCACTCGATCGACCACTGCGTATCCACGGAATCTGGTTCGAAATTCAGATCCGATGGCGGAGATCCGGGCTCGAAGACGGTCTATATCCTACTCCCATACTACCAGCGCGGTAATCTCCAGGATGCCATCAACGCCAATCTGGTCAACCATACCAAGTTCCCAGAGAAGCGGTTGATGGTCCTGATACTCGGTGTTGCCGATGCGCTTCGTTCGATGCACCAGTATCGGGTGAAGAGCGGTTCCGCGGCTGCACGAAAGGCGAAGGGTGTTCGGAGAGAAGGCGAGGAGGTAGACGAGGAACGGACCATGCAGATGAAACCGAAACGGAGGCCTAGCCATCGCGTAGCGGAGGACGAGGATGAGGAGAATGCGCCCCTGATGGATGACGAGGTCACCCGGAGTCAGGAAGGTGTCGAGGATGGGGACCTGCGCCCCTATGCGCATCGAGATGTCAAGCCTGGTGAGTTTCCATTTTGGCTGGTGCAGAAATTCCGAGTCGACTCGACGGGCTAACTAGCGTTATAGGAAACATCATGATCGACGACAATGGGCAATCACCCATCCTGATGGATCTGGGCTCTTTGGCGCCCAGCCCCATCGCCATTACGTCGCGCTCTCTCGCCTTGGCGGTGCAGGATACCGCAGCAGAACACAGCACGATGCCATACCGCGCACCGGAGCTCTTCGATGTCAAGACAGGGTCGATCATTGATACCAAGGTTGATATCTGGTCGCTTGGGTGTACACTCTACGCCTGTCTTGTGGGCAAGAGTCCCTTCGAGGCACGCAGTGAAGAGACCGGTGGTAGCTTGAGCATGTGTGTTCTTGGTGGTGACTGGCGATTCCCCGATGAGAAGTCAGGTGCTTCTAAGGGTAAAGCCAAATCGGGCGAAAGCGAGGATGCATCCAAAAATGATGAGCCTGCGATCAGTGCACCTGTCAAGGACATTGTTCGGAGGTGTCTCACTGTTGAACCCTCGGAACGGCCCGACATTGATGAGCTTATTGAGCTCATGAAGGGTGTTATTGATCAGATGCCTGAAGATGACGTGGCTGGTCCATCGCACTAAGATCTACTTTATCTTGCGTGTTTCCTGTTTTGTCCGCGTTCTTTTCCTTTGACCGGCAGGCTCCGTATGCGTGCGATTTCTTTAGGTGTACATTATGAATGCGAATTTGAATTCATCCCAGGGCTGATCATTATGTTTTTGCTACTTGGAGTTATGGAGCGTGTCTATTGAGTTGCAACCTATAATTCCATTTTGATATTTTATTTGTTACTTGCTCGCGTCGTTGCTCTCTCATGTCTCATGGATGAGGTCGAATAAACACTCCGAGATGGCTTCATGATGACGAAATGCCGGGCAAGTCCACGCAACCCAAGCAGATGTAGACATCTCTAGAGATCACTCCATCAACTTAAGCTAAACAGCATCCAGCACAATGAGTAGCACCTTCGATGACAAGACACAGGGGGCGGACGTGACGAAGATGTTCCCAGAGCGGGTGAAGCAAAAAACATGTACCGCCACAACCCCTAAAGAAACTCGTATATAAACTAACCAATTTCCCACGATAGTCCTAATAGCCGGTCTCAAACGAGGCGATCTCGCAGCCACAACGGCCGACGCCCTCGCCCACGGCGGCGCAAAGACTATAATATATACGGGCCGCTCCGAGTCCGAACTGCAACCCGTGATCGACCACATCAACCGGAAGTACAAAACGGTCAAAATGATCTTTGTGACGGCCGACCCGGGTAGCCTGAGTTCATTCCTCGAGGCAGCACATACTATTAAAACCATGGGCGTGTCGATTGACGGCTTCATTGGGTTTCCCGATGTCATGGCTGTACCGTGGGAGCTCACGGCAGACGGAGTCGAGTCTCATTTCCAGAAGAATTACCTGTGTTATTTCCTGCTGTTGAATCTGCTGTGTGATGTTATGGGACATCGGTCGAGGGTTGTTCTAGTTACGTCTAGTTTGCGGAATGAGGCGCCTGCGCCCTCGTGGGATGATTTGGAGTTTGAGGTGAGCTTGACGCCTTTTTTTTATATGCTTGTTGGTGGTATATGCTGAGTTAGGTAGAATGGAGAAAATTACCATAGTCTCGATGGATATTCGCAGTCGATGCTTGCGATCATCTTGTTTATCAAGTCTATTGCGAAGAAGTATCGTGGATCGATCGCTGCGTTTTCTGCCAATCCTGGAAGTGAGTCCGAATTGGTGAATTGGTGAATCTGTTTTCGGTAATCATTCTCATTGGATCCAGATACCAAAACCAACGTTCAGACATACGTTGCGTGGGATGAGATCAAATCCTGGCTGCAGCGGAAGAAAGAAGGTATGTCCCCGATAACAGATGAGAGCCATTTGATTTGACAGGATATCTAGCCGGTGAGGACATACCGGTCCTTTTACAGCAAGCCCCGAAATCACTTGCGCAGGGTAGTGCCACGGTATTGCGCGGATTGTTGGATCCAGGGCTCGAAGGTGAGATAGCCAGATAAACAAGGGTGTGTATGCATTGTTACTGATTGGTGGATGTGAGGGTATCAGTTCAATCTGGAGCCTTTCTAGACCATTGTCAGATCCCCAAATTACCGCATCTCGACTTCCCAACGGGGGAAGAAAGTGCAGAGGCGTTATGGAAGCGAAGCTATGATTTAGTCGAGGTGTTTCTTTCTTAAATAGGAAAGTAATCTATTGCCTTGTCGGTCTCGTTGGTCTGATAAGCATCCTAAGCATCGGACTAAATACCGATGTGCTCCATATATTCCACGTTTCTCATTTAATTGGAGAATATTCGGATTTTGAAGCGATAATGATTGGTTGAATAGATACTCCAAGATATTCCAAGACGATATAAGCCATATAAGCATTCATATCATATACTATTTCAAGAATATCAAAAAATATCAAAGAATATCAAAACAATAACCTCGCCAAGACCCAGTTTTGCGGGGAAGATAGACTCCAACTTCTCTTATCTTTGTGTCTTTGCGTCTTTGCGTCTTTCTGTCTTCTCTTCAATGCAATCGAGATGTCGATCTTCCCATTTAAGACATGTCTCCTGTCCCCTTATCTTTATCCCTTTTCTCACATATTTCCTTAAACTCTTTCTTCCTACCAGAACCATCTTTCATACTTGCTTGGCCTTAGTTTTTTCTGAATCAGTCACATACACATATCGCATCGGAACAGTACCCCACCATGGCGCCAGTCATCGACAGCTCAGTCGTCCCTGGCACTGTAACTCTAGTAGACGTGAATCATGTCCTGCATACCCGGCACTTGGACCACGGAGACCGTGACATTGTATTGATCCCTACCCCATCAAATGACCCAGATGACCCCCTCAATTGGTCTCAAAGGCGGAAACTTCTATCAACTGCTTGCGTGAGCATGTGAGTACAGATTACAACAACCTGACCTAGGGATCGGTGTTGATATTTCATATTTCTAGCTATACGATGTTCGCGGGGATTGCCTGCTCCGTCGTTTACTCAGTAATTACACCGCTCCACGAACAGACGGGATTGCCCATCAGTACCCTAAACGAGGGAAGCGGATACATGTTCTTGTTGGCCGGATGGGGCTTGCTGTTTTGGCAACCTTTCGCTATGCAGTATGGCAAGCGGCCGACATACATATTATCATTGATAGGAATTTTGGTACCTCATCCTGAGTCTGTTGAATATTTGAGAATTATAGCTAACAAATCCAGGGTATGACGATGTGGGGGTAAGTGAAGTATTATGTTTGCAATGAGACAAGACTAACACCGTCCAGACCATACGCAGGCACTGAAGGACAATGGCTCGCGCGAAACATCGTCTTAGGTTTCTTTACAGCACCCGTGGAAGCGCTTCCTCAGATCTCTGTCACGGATGTGGTAAGTTAAACCCACCTTAGGAAAGAACCCAACGCTCACACAACAACAGTACTTCACCCACGAGCGAGGAACTTACATGGGACTTTATGCATTCTTCTTAGCAGGAAGTAACTACTTTGCGCCGGTCATCTGCGGCTTTATTGCTCAGTACCAGGGCTGGCGGTGGGTATTCTACTGGCCGAGTATCTTCCTCGGCTGTGCAATTATCTTCCTCTTCTTTTTCTGCGAGGAAACAAACTACATTCGCGCGCAGCCCGAGCAGCCCGACGAGCCTGGCGCTATCATAACCACAGAATCTCCAAAACTCAGCTCGGACGGCGAAAAGGAGAAATCCGCGGCTGTTGACATGGAAGCTGCCACTGGAGTTAGCATTAGGTTGGGCCACACCAAGAAGTCGTATGTGAAGAAACTGGCGCTCTGGGGACCGAGCCAGGAGCAGAATACGTTGGTCCGGCGACTCTGGCAGTGTATTTACTTCCTCTCGTGGCCCGTTATCTTCTATGCTGGGTATGGATACAATGTTCCCGGATTTGCTATACAGTTTGACTAATATGCACACAGCTTCTCTTACGGATCCTACCTGGTCTACTTCAACATCCTGAATGGAACAGCTTCTATCATTCTCGGCGGAGAGCCATATAACTTTGGGTCAGTCTGATTATTTTGTTACTTGATGAACGAAGCTAACCTGTTCCAGATCTTCCATGGTCGGTCTGAGTTATGTAGCACCCATCATCGGTGTAATCCTGGCGTAAGATCTCCAGCTGGGCCCAATACTATAACCAATACTGACAGAAATAGATCCTTCTTCACTGGCCGATTCAGCGACTGGCTCACTATCAAACTTGCCCGCCGGAACAATGGCATCATGGAGGCAGAGCACCGTCTCTGGCCCTTCCTCGTTTGCGTGGTGCTTGTGCCTTGTTCGCTTATCCTTTGGGGTGTGGGTGCTGCTTATGAGATCCACTGGTTTGGACTCATTGTTGGAATGTGCATTCTGGCCTTCACGAGCACCTGTGGCATCACACTTAGCGTCAATTACTTTATTGATAGCTACCGAGAGCTTAGTGGTATCGCCATGGCCAGTGTGATTCTGGTTCGCAATACCATGTCTTTTGCAATTGGATATGGGTAGGTTTTTTCTCGAGTTCTAGCCGAAGACAAACACTAACTTCATTTAGTATTACGCCTTGGATCGATAATATGGGGTACCAGAACTGTTTCATTTCTGCTGCCTTTATTGGCATGGCATGTGCTTCAGTCTTCTTCGTTATGATCCAGTTTGGAAAGACATTCCGCGAACGATCCCGCGAGCAGTACTGGAAGCTTGTCCAAGAGAACTGGGAGAAGGGCATGTGCAATTAGAATAGATGTACAGTCATATTCTACTTGCACAGGTTTCAATAAATCATCCATTCAATTCAAATATCTATTGCACAGGAGTCTGTTCCTCAGCCAGATGAATAGCCCCTTCATCATCATAAACAATCTCCCTCACCTTCACTGACCTCAAATGATCAACTCCCTCCGAAAGCTCACAGTCATGATAAAACAAGTACCACTTCCCCTGGAATTCAACAATGGAATGATGCGTCGTCCACCCAAGCACCGGATCCAAGATACGTCCGCGATAGGTAAACGGACCCCAAGGCGAAGTGCCCGTAGCATAAGCCAAGAAATGTGTATCACCGGTCGAATAAGAGAAATAATAAGTTCCCTGATACCGATGCACCCAAGCCGCCTCAAAGAACCTTCTCTCATGGTCGTCCGCCAACAAAGGCTCCCCAGTCTCCGGCGCAAGAATAACAACCTCCTTAACCGACGACGCCAGCGAAAGCATATCATCCTTCAACAACGCGACACGCGGACACAGCGCGCGAACACCCTCCCCAGCAGGCTCATGAGGTCCAGACAAACTCTCATCGAAAACTAGTCTCTTCTTGCGTCCATCAACACCACCTTCATCCCCATCAACCCATTCCCCTTCCCCATTCTTATCTTCATCCTTCCCTTCAACCCAACACTGCAACTGCCCACCCCAAATCCCACCAACATAGAGATACGCCTCTCCACCAGCATCCTCATCCACAAAGACAGCAGGATCGATACTGTACGTCCCCTGGATATAATCCTCTTGCGGGACGAAGGGACCTTCGGGTGCATCAGCGACAGCGACACCAATGCGGAAGATTCCCTTTTGATCACGGGCCGGGAAGAAGAGGTAGAATTTGTTATTTTTTGTTGCGGCGTCGGGTGCCCAGAGTTGCTTTGAGACCCAGGGGATATCTTTGTCGCGGAGGACGACGCCGTGGTCGGTTACGGGGCTGGTGATGGTGTCCATGGAGAGGACGTGGTAGTCGGCCATATCGTATTGGTCGCCATTGTCGTTGAAGGCGATTGTTGTTTCGCGGTCGTGGCTGGGGTAGATGTAGAGTTTGTTGTTGAAGACGTGGGCGGAGGGGTCGGCCGTGTAGATGTGGGAGACGAGTGGTTTGGACATTTTGGTTGGTGAGGTTATAGATAGGGCTGAGTGTATATAGAAGGATGGAAGGAAGAATTGGGGTATTTCTGGGGATTGAAGGATATTAATATTTGATTCTTTGCTATTCTACCATTCCTACTAGTAGTCAATTACCCCATATTCTCCCGTTCTTCCCCTCATTATCCCCATATTATCCCCCTATTAGCCTCCTATTAGCCTATGTCTCGTCTCTACAACTCTTTTTAACCGACGGCTAAATCAACATTCCGGGGAAATTATAGTATTATAGCCTGGGTGTTCTATATTTTATATGTATTTATGTGTATTTTCGTATATAAATATAAATTGAATAGTTTATCGAAATAAATTCAAATTCACTTCAAATTCCACCGATGCGACTCCTCAGCATATGCCCTCTGTAACGCCTGCTGCCACTCCAATTCCATCTGTCGTAGTACTTCAGCTTCACTCTCACTCATCTTCTCATCATTCCCATTCCCATTCCCACTCCCATCCCCCTCATGCCTATCCATATCCATATCCTCCTCCTGCTGCTGCTGCTCTTCACATCCCCTCAACCCAAAAAACCTCCCCAACCTCTTCAACCTCGTAGGAAGATCAATAGTCTTCTCCTCCGGCGTCCCAATCCACGGGGGAATACAAACAGGGTAATTAAACGTAGCCGGGACAGGCGGGTAAACCTGATGGAAATGACGGGCGAGATTATCGACCTGCTCCGATGTCAGAAGGTTGTAGGCCAACATATTTGGTGGGAAATCTGGGTGTGGCAGGCCTGTTTCGCAGTTGACGAGGGGCCAGAGGTGGGAGGAGAGATGGCGGAGGAGGGGCAGGAAATGGGGGTGGAAGTTGGGACTCTCGCGGAAGAAGATTGCACGGTATTCGATTGGAATGGGGTCTCCAGTGGACTCTATAGATTTTATGCTTGGAGAGGACATGCTCATTGGACTGGGAGTGTCTGCTAGGGTTGTGGTAGTTGAGGTGGTGGAAATGGAGAGGGTTCGCTCGGAGAGCCAGCTGATGCTGTGAGGGGAGTTGGGGGTTGGGGGATCGTTGTCCATTTGGTTGGTTGATATGTTGATATGTTGATATACTTAAGTGAATAATAAAATAAAAGTATACTCTATGTTGGATGTTGTAGGAACGAGGCAAATCGAGGAAAGTAAGGACAACTTATATATACGAAATGTATGTGATTGTTGAAACCCTCAAAGAATCATCTCGACAATGAGATGAAACATCCCGACACAATCTCTTCTTTATAACACAAAGACATCGTCCTGAACTCCCCAATCAAGGCGAGTTTTAAACAGAACCCCCTTCATATCCCTTTGTTTCCAAGAAAAGAACAATAACCATGGTCATAAATATCCATCATATACGATTCATATTCAAGTTTGGTCTTCCCTCATTGGCCCAAACATCCAACTCAAAGAGACTATTGTTATATCACAGCGACAGACTGCCCACTCCGCGTGACAGATCGGGTTCCTCTGACACAGAAGGGAGACCCACGTACTTGTTAATCCAGTTCAAAACGGTCTGGTGCCACATGAGGGAGTTTTCAGGGTTCAGAACCCAGTGGTTCTCGTCAGGGAACGTCAGGAACGCACTATCAATACCGCGAATCTGGAGAACATTAAACGCAGCCAGACCCTCCGCGATGGTCAGACGGTAATCCAACTCGTTGTGGATAATCAGATGAGGCGTGTTCCAGTGTTCCGTGAACCGCGACGGATCCCACTTGGCCCAGTTCTCCGGCACCTTCCAGATCGGCCCTTTCAGGTCGTGCAGAGGGAAGTATTGTTCTTCACTAGCCAACTGGGAGGTCATGCTGAACACTCCGTCATGGGTGACGAGTGCCTTGAACTTGCGCCCCAGCGGATGGCCCTGCATCCAGTTCATCATGTAACCGCCGTACGAGGCGCCTAGTGCAACCGCACGCGTGGTGTCGACGTAATCCAGGTGCTGCTCGATATATTCGAATCCCCTGACCAGGTCCTCGTAGGGCCGACCGCCCCATTGCCCCTTGATTCCATCGGTGAAGGGCTGTCCGTAGCCGGTACTACCTGTTGGGTTGGGGGTGATCACAACGTAGCCCTGTTCGGCGAATACAGCAGGGTTCCAGCGCGTGCTCCATTGATCATTCCACGCGCCCTGCGGTCCACCGTGGATCAAATACGCAAGCGGGTATTTGCTCCCAGGCTTGAAATCGGACGGCTTCACCACCCATGCGTGGACAGGGTGGTCTTCAGCTCCCTTGAACCAGATCTCATCGACCTGGGCCGAGGACAAGCCGAAGGCACTACCGCCCCGGCCGTTTGAGGAAACCATTTGGACATCATCTGGATGGGCTGGATCGATGATAGTCCACAGGCTGTTATCAACCAGGCTGCTGCTAGACACGAACAGTTTGGATGATTTGGCAGCTGCGGGAACGGCGTCGTTCACGTATCCCGATCTGGTCAGCCTCTTTAAAGACTCAGGCTTGATTGTATGCGCATTCTCCAGTGGAAGCTGGTACAGAACTCCGCGGCCAACCTCCTCGACATGAACGAACAGAGACTTGTCATCATGGGCAAATGACACGGCCGAAGGACTGAGATCCCAGTGTCCCTTCCCATCGTCCGACTGGAAAATCTCGATCATCTCTCCATTCCATGGGTTGGGAACATACAAGATACGGTTCTTATCAGATTCATAGCCATCCTCACGCATCGCTAGAACAGCAATCGAGCTACCGTCCGAGCTAAGGACAGGAGACGACATCGCTCCCTGAAGGCCAGCAACCTTGCAGATTTTGGGTTCAGAATCATTCATGCTCATGCTAGTCCACGAGAACATGGGAGAATAATAACACGAGCAAGAGGTGTGAGTCGCCGGGTTCAGGTTAGGGTCCTTCGCAATAAAGACAATAGCCGACGGACTGATATCAAAGTCCCCAGTACCACCAAAAGGCGGAATTGGCGACTCCACGCCTGCCAGTCCTGAGACTGCAATCAAGTTGGTAAGGCCCGAGATCGAGTACTTTCCAGCCCGTCGACGGGCCGGCGACAGAGGAGTCTGTTCCAGCAAGCCATAAAAGATCGCGTTCTTCTGGGGCTCGACATACGAGTCCCAGTGTCTAACAAAGAGAGAGGTGTACAGTTTGCCGGTTGTATGGGGCTTCTTCGCATCGTGGGGATTGTATAGCGACCCGTCTGTATTGGCTTTGCCTGTCACGGCGAAGCCGACCTTTCCTGGCTCCAGAAGGGTCACTTTCAGGTCCGATACGGGGCCTGGGACAGTGCCTGCAGTGTATGTCTCATCGGCTTGGCGGGCATCGCCAACAACAAAGCTTGTATTGCCATTGCCCTTGTTCTTTAGCCAGACAAGTTTGTCGCTATCGTCCACCCACTGTGGATTACTGGCGCCGGGGTCGTTGGTGATAAGGGCAGAGCGGCCGGAGCTGATATCGATAACGCGGATTTCATTGGTCTTGGAATGAGACTCGAAAGAGTACGAGGTCTGCGTGTAGACTGCTAGGGTGCCAGCCGCATTGGGAACGGCTGAGGACCGCCTGGGTGCTCCAAGCAGAACCCTAAAGGGGTCGGTGTCAGTCTGGTGCTCTCGAATATACTCAATGAAGATTGATGTCAAATTGTTAATTATATGGACACTACTTACTGGGGAGTGAACTTCATGTTCCGAATGGCCATATCAGACCGTATGGGAGATAAGATAGGAAGCTTGGGGGAGCTTCCACGGATTGAACTTAAAATGAAGGTATCAACAGGCTCTTAAGATAAACAAAAACACGTAAAACACCACTGCGTATGCTATTGATATCAAAGAGAGAAATTGAGTTAGAGAGAAAGAGTTGGAGGAGAGAAGAGGAGGTTGGGGAGCAACGTGATCATGCGGGGGGGGTTATGGTCCTGATTGGGTTAAGCGCCATGTACCTTGCAGGCATTTGCATCGACAATGTTACATCGGAGAAAAGTACGGAGTACGTAGTTAACTATAGAAGACATCTTGTATTCAAGGCTTCGAAAACATAACTATTATTACAAATTGTAAAGATCATGGCATTTACTCTTCTTCCTCTTCCTCACTTTCATCCTCGTCCATTCCCTCTGCCGCATTGATACGGAATGTGGGAGCCTGATCAACGCCAACATAGCTGTCGCTCATGAGGTAGAGCGTCAACTCATGGTCTCCGGGTGTAGGGACCACATATTCCAGGCGCAGCTCGAGCTTGCGGCCGATGGTGACACGCTTGATAGCCAACAGGCTCTTAGTCTTCTCGTCACCAACAACCAACCACCAGTTCTCCATCTTCTGGCTGGGGTAGAATGGTGCGTGGACGGTAGCATCGGGCTCCTCGTCTTCTTCGATATCCCGCTCGATCTTGACCTTGAGGTATGCGGGTTCGCCCGAAGTGATGCCCTCGGCATCCTCAACTTCGAAGTCGAGCTCGATGTTGGGGTACTTCTCATTGGTGAAAGCCGCAGCTTGTGCCAACTGCTTGTTATCGAGGCCGAGGCGCTTGACCAAAGTAGCGTAGTCCTTGTTCTCCGATGGGTCCATGGCCTCCATGAATTCGAAGATATCATTGATCCTGTAAAAAGGTAGATTAGCAAATGTCTGTGGGGACCTTTCTGATGGTACATACTTGTATTCGTTGGCCACCTTAATCACGTCAGGAGAGAAGTGAGGGATTTGCTTCAGAGGGCTGTCACGATCCCACATGGCCTGAACCACCATCTGGGACAATTCCATTGCGTTCATCGCGTTGAGATGACCCTCAGATGAGAGGACATCCACACAAGCGCTGAGCAGGTTGAGGACCTTGCGAACAATGTCTTCCTGATCCTTGGCAAGATCAAGAGGAAGCTGCATGCGGGAGAAGTGGGCCTGGAGGAGAACGAAGGCCTTGAAATGAGGAGAATCAAAGGAAACCTCTGACATCTTGACCGGTACACGGTCATACACGCGGCGGAGAATGTGATTCTCATGGCGACGCATCTGGATAGACTCGAACTCAGTCGCCGAAGTGACAATCTCCAGGATACCCTTGAGCTTCGTCCGGGACGAGAGAGACAACAAGAAGGTTTGCATGGTGATGAACGAGATGTTGTAGTAAGCACCGATCATGGCGGCATTCAAAGGCGAAACGGTGTCATCGTCTTCGTCAAGGTCAATGATCTTTGCCTCTGACAACTCCTTCAGTGTGTTCTCCACCAGCTCTGACAGGAATGTGCTGAGCCCCTCGTGGCTCACGTCGCTAAGACCGTAGAAACTGGGGTTTGCAAGAAGACGTCGATAGAAATAGGTGTATGTCATCCAATCAACCGCATCCTGGGTGGAGGAGATGGTCTTTGTGCTGGCTTCAGTCACAAAGGCATCGTGGAGGTATACCTGCAGGTGACTCTCAACAGGTAAGGCCTCGTTCAAGAACTTCTTGTAGTATTCGCGCTTCACTGCTGGCACCATAAGAACACCACGGCCAAGCTTGTCCTGACCGGGACGGGAGGCTTTGCCGAACATCTGCAAGATATCGCTGATGGGGTAGTCTATGTAACGATGCTCACGGCCATCGAAGAATTGAGTGTTCATGACAATGACCAAGTGAGCCGTGATATCCAGTTCCCAGCAGACATCTCTCGAAGCTAAAAGCACCTGAATCGCACCAATGCTGAACAGGTGTAAGACAATGCGCTTATCGGTGGCATTAAGAGCTTCGTGGTAGTAGCCAATACCGTGAGAAAGTGAGGTGGCAAGAGTCTGCTCATGGACACGCTCAAGCAAAGGAGCGAGCTCACTAACATCGGCGTTCAGGAAACGATCTTCATCGTTATCGATAGCACACGCCGAGAGGAGATCTGCTGCAGTCGCACGGACCTGCTTGCGGCTTGGAACGAAGACAAGTGCAGGCTTGTCGGGGGAGAGCTGCAAAATCGACTGGTAGGCAGGGCGAGCCATCGCGAGCATGGCAGAGGGGAAGTGAGGGATGGTGAATGATTGGAGGTGAAGCTCCAGAGGCACAGGACGGGCGTGGGGGCTGAAGTTGTAGATCGTG